TAATTTTGTTATCATCTTATTTCATCTTCACTGTCTCTTCAATATCTTCAGTTATCATTATTTTCATTTGAAATTCCCATGAAAATGATTGACCACTGACCAGTGTTACTCGGCTCTCTCTCTCTAAAAATAAATAAAATGAACAAACATCTTAGATCCAAAAATCGACGAAATAAAATTACACAGAAAAACTTTTTCCTTAATTTGAGTTGCAATATTTACTCAACATGAACTTTTTTCTTCTTCTTCTCCATTCCCAGTATTTCATTCCAGAATTTTCAGTTATCACTATTCAATCATAAAGATTATATTTCTCCTCATGGTTGGTCATTTCTTCACTCAACTCATCTTCTTCATCTGTTGTCACCTTTTGGTAACCTCATAAGAATCTTTCATATCGGTTATTTTTTTACTCTCGTTCTATTGTTTACCTGTAAAAATAATAGAAAAGAAAAGAAAAGAAAAACATGTAACTGATTCAGGATAAGAATCAATCAATTCTTACTTTTTTCTCATCAAATTAGACGCTCAATAAACTCGCTTTATCTTTTTTTTCAGACTTTCATCTCAATCTATCCATTCATCTTACCTTGAATTCACCCATATCTTTATCCATCATCATCTTCCTCCGAATCATCCTCTGTTTATCTTACCGAGTCTCCACATGAGAGATTGTCATCTACATTTACCATTTGTAATAGAATGAGGAATATTTATCTTCCCTTTCAGAACTTTCATCTTTCTTATCCTCATCATTTTCTGTACTTTTTTTCATCTCTCTCTCTCTCTCTCTCTCTAATAATTCATTTACAATCAATAGCAACACTTACAGAAAATGAAGTAGAAGAAAAAAAACCAAGAAATCTTATCAATTCCATGTGACCTTAACCTTTACTTATAACTGAATCTCATGAGGCTCAGATTCTTGATTTCATGATGAGCAACAAACAAGATTCAATATCAGACAATGAACACACACACAATACAGAAAAATAACATTTCCATTCAACTTGTTTCTCTCAATATTATCACCAAGTTGATTATTACTCTTGATTCTGAACAGAATGTATCACAATCATGTAACCCTATTCAGAGATTTATTTCAATCTAATCCCATATCATTAAAAGGGAAACAAAATGAGACAGGAAGTTTAATAAGGGAAGAGAAAAAAAGAAAATTCTTTCATGATGAATCAGGATAAATAACCAAGTGATTAGATTATCTATTTGCTTATGACCATCATTAATTTCATGATAATTTCATGAGAATAAAAGTAGAATAGTGTAAAGAAAAGTTTAAACTGAAAAATCAATCGGAATCGATAAGAAAACTTTTTGAAAAAGATTAAGATATAATTTCAATGATAATTACCTGATTAACTTTGGATTCAGTAAATGAACTTATCACCATCATTACAGAATATAAATGATGAAGATGAGCATCAAGTTAATCATCATCTTTTAAGAAGATAATTTCATCATCTTTTTTTCCTTCGAATAGAGAATCAAATGTTTCTTGATATGGTTAAGATTAACAATCGTTCATCATAATGATGACAGGAGAGAGAGAAGATAAAAACAGAGAGAGGGAGAGAGAGAGAGAGAGAGAGAAGATGAAGATAAAATTGATGGAGAATTTAAAATCAATCAAGAATAAGGTGTTGACTGATGATGGAGAAGATGAAAAGTTGAAATAGCAAAAAGATGAACAATTTTCTTCTCAAATATTAAAGATAAAGATTGATCAGAATGATTTTATGAGGATGATGAAGATAATGATGATGGTTAAGGTAAGAAGCTGATGATGAGGATGAAAGTGATTATCCATTTTGTAAGATCATTTGATTGACCATCAGCGTTGAAATTAAAACAAAATTGGATGAAAAAGTTTATCTCTTGTAACAATGGAAAAATTATCTAATATTAACAACAACCAATTCTCAACTGAATAACAGATTAATGTTAATCCGATGAGAATGGATAAGTTTCATCATGATAACCGTAATTAATCAATCGACTCTGATGCTTCTTCATCAGCATCAATCAGATTTATCAGAACTTTTTTGTTTCTTTCTTTTCTTTGTTTGTAAACTGATAGTTGAGTTTCAATAAAAAGGGATTGGCTTTTTGACAGAAATATAGAAATGGAGATAAAATATTTCTCTATGGTAATAATAATTATGGAAGAATATTTTTTCCTCTTATCATCTAAATGCTAACAAGTTGATATCATGAAATTCACACCAATAGATTCAGAATTTCAGGATAATTTTATCATCAATCTTCACTTTTATTTCGCAGAAAAATGTGATGAACTTGCTCATGATCTTGACCAGTGAATTAATCAACTTTCTTTACTTTTTTACCCTCAATCATATTGGTCAGTTTCTTGTAATTCATTCAATCAAGTGTCAACTTTACGTTTCCTGTTGAACTTTCTCCCTGATCTCAGATATTAATGTTGAGGTGACTTGTAACCTGAATTTCATGATAAAATTTAATCTCATGTTAGTCTAGTCTCATGATAAGTTCATTCCGCGTTTCCTTAGTTGATTCCTCTTTTCTTTCTGGGGTCATTTCAATTTCATATTTGATATTTTTTTCTGCTTAACAAGCATCTTGTTCATATCCGATAAATATTGACAAGATTGATTCTCAATTCTGAAGCAATTTTTTCCTGGATGAAAATTCTGAGAATCAACTGAATCATTTCTGATCAATTGTAGACTACAACTTTTTTTTCTGCGCTTTTTTAATTGAGATGAAAATTTCCCTCAATAATTTACACAACTATTATGGTGATGATGATGATGATGGTGATACACTTTCCGCCTTCTTATCATTTTTCTGACAGAGATGAAGTTGATGAGGATGCTCAGAGATGATGATGAAGCTTGACTGATGTGATTGTCATGTTATCAGGACAACCAGGGCCCATGAATGGTGTAAATATTTCACTCTCCAATCTTAAATTGAGAAATCATTTTATTACGTTAAAAGATGATGATACATGATGATGAATTGAAATTGGATGAGAGAGTAAAAATGGTTCATGATAATGAAGATGATAATCATTTCGGAGACATGATTAAAGATGATGATGATAATCAGAGGATGGAAATGTTGATTTTCATAATGATAATCAGAAAAGGATAACAAAAAAGGGGGCGAGGGAGAAGATGGATGAAGGAAAGATGAGGATAAATCTTATACACAAATAAGATGAAGATGAAGTTAGACATCCAAATGATGATAAGAAGAAGAGATAAACCTGAGAAAGGAAAACAAGATGAAGATAAGATGATGAGGATGTTTTGAGATGCTCACTCTGTCTTTCTGCTCTTTTTTTTATCATCCTCGGAATTTGATAGAGCTTCAGATTCCAAAATAATACTTTTTCTCCCCTGGATCAATGTTCATCATTTCAGAATTTGAGGTTTTTACTCCATCTTCATCATCTTTTTTCCTCTTCCTCTGGAAGATGGAAAAAATTTCGCTCTCTCTCTCTCTATCTCTCTTATATTTCTACCGAGTATGACAAGAATCTGATTAGGATGATGAAGATGATAAAGATGATGATGAGAAACATCTTTCTCGATATAATTCAAACCATCATGTCAATCATGTTTCAAATTGAAAGCAAAACTTTATCATCATCATCATCATTGAATGTAAGAGAGAAAGAGTAAAAGAAGGAGAAAAATTTTTCATTCTCTTTTCTTTGATTTTCACTTTTCTAGCATCATCATCAACACCTCGCCCCATTATCATCCGCATCTTCATCCGTAGAATCAGTTATCATCAATTGCATTAAAGTATATCAATAATCGCAAGATATACAACATAAAAGAAGAAGAAAAATAAAAGTTCACCAAGCATCAATTTCATGATAAAACATGATGCTGATTCAATAGGAACCATGAACTGTTTCCAAGAGATAAACATTTACAACTATCAACTTGTGATTGATAAAAAACTTTACCAACAATCAGTCTTTGCCTCTCCTCCTCCTCCTCCTCCTGTAACTTTGCTTGAAAAAAACCCACCCTGGTTTCATCATCATGATTACCGATCTGAACAACATGAACTTTTTTCCATCATTGTTTATTATCAGGCTCATGAAACGATAATAATAATGCAAATACTTGAAGAGGAAAAAAAGTAAAATCTATTCTCAAGATTAATCAGATTTTTTTTCTTACTACTTTTCAGTTTCAGTTACAAGCTGAGTTTTATTTTTTCACTCACTCTTCTGAAACATTATCATGTTCCCCATGTTTTTCATCATGAAATATCATTGAAATATATGCTAATGTAACAATGAACACATGATAACCTAGGAATAAGATAAGAATCAGAAATAAAACGAAAATGAGAGAGAAAATTTCGGTTTATCTCTTTTCCTGTTTTTCTTTCTCATTGAAAAACAAACTCCAAGTGTAACAGGATAACATGGGCTCTGAATTTTATCAGAATTCTGTCAATTTTATCACCAATGATTTCTATTATCACCTTGATTCTTTCTCCCTGTCGAGATTTCTCAGTCAGAACTTTTCCTTCATCATGTTATCGTTATAAAAATTATCTCTCCAATATATATTATGTTAATATTCATCATGATGAAAGTAACAACGAAAACATTAGGTTTGATTGAATAGAAAGTGTTGAATATGAATATTATATACACTGAATTTCAGGGTAAAAAATAAAGAGGGAGAGGCAGAATTGAGCATAACTTATTCCCTGTGGGTATTCATCATCAGACTAAAATGTTAAACATGATGAGTTGTGATAATTTTCACCTGAATTTTGATAACAACAATTCTTGATATTATTATTCATGACGAAAGACAATTTTGTTATTAACTATCATTCTGATTACTATCAAACATTATCGTTATCAAGATAATTATTGTTTCCAAAGATAAACATTATATATTTCATTTCAAATGTTCCCATGAGATTTCATGATAAAAGTTGAACAAAAATTGTTGAAACCCGATTGACATTGTCAATTTGTAACAGTTACAATAATTGTTACTTTCTCATCACCTTTGAGATTAGATGATATATAAAATTGTTAACTTTAATTGTTGATAATAAATTGTTAATCTCTCCTGATAATTAGTAATCTTTGATTTCTTTTCATTAACTTTTGGGTTTATAATGTTAATCTTCAGGTAAATTTGGGTAACATGATTGGGTTTCAATCTTTTCATAGATTAAAGGATTTAAATTAGTGATTAGTTTTTCGAGTAACGGAATAAATTAGATTTGATTGTTTTAGAGGATTAGGTTAATCATCTGGTTTGAGATTAAAAGGTTAATCATGTTACCAGGATAATGTGAACCTTATCCTTTGATTGTTTGTGATTAGATTTGATTTTGTTTCTCGATCCATCCTTGATTGCGATTCGATGACCTTTCAAGTTCGAGTAGCCATAAGTTTTATGCTTGTTACTATTATTGGTCTTGTATTTTTTACCTAATCCAGTGAAAAGTAAGAGTAAGAAAAGGTTAGATTATTAATCAACTAAGAGATTAAGAGGATTAAAGGTAAATAAAAAATCTATTGAGGTTTTTGCTTACTTGAAATTTTCTTGTTAATCTTTTTCTTTTTTTTCGGTTTTTCTTCCTCTTCTTCTTGTTCCTCTTGATCGCCATCAGCTGATTCATTTTCACTTACAATCACTTGACCAGCATTATTTTTATTCGATGATTGAAGTTGACCATTGTTAACACCTTGATTTAATCTTGTTTGCCCTTGTCGAAGATTATTGAACTTCTTTCTCAAAGATGAACCATATTCTTGTAATTGGTGGCGATTCTTTGAGATTCTGTTCATCGGTGAATTATCCCGATAATTTTGATTGTTTTGAAATTTCGATGTCCATGAATGTTTACCTTGATTACGAGTGTTTAGTAAGTTACCTTGTTGCTTGGGTTGATCATCTGATGGATCGTCAAGATGACCATGATGGAGTAACTTATATTCACTAAGATTATCAGTGACTTTAGTTTGACTAATCCCAGTGAATCGAGAGCCAGTTAATCCTTTAGTTGAAGATGAACTGACCACTCGCTGGGAACTGTAACGATTTTTACCATTTCCTTTCATGTTTCGAGTACCAGAATTTGATGAACTTTTATCATTAACACAATCATTTGCGTTGTTGTTATTTTGAATCTCACCGATTGGTCTATCGGTCAATAAGATGGTCAGATCATTTCGAACTGGTTTAACAGATGATTCCGCTTGGGAAGGTTCAGATGATGAGGAAGATGCAGATGATTTGGTTGATGAAGAAGAAGAAGAAGAAGATGATGATGATGATGATGATGGAGATGCTGTTGATGATGAAGAAGCAGATGGAGATGACGATGAATTTACTGATGATGATTCTGTTGATTGGAAGATAACAATTATCTCGATACAGATTAAAACGAAACGAATGAAATTTTTCATGATGATGATGTTTCTCTGATGATTGAGTAACTTGTGATGAAAATTAACTTTGATTAAACGCTTTTGATCAATCAGTTGATGATGAAAATTAATTCAATGTCCTCTTCCTCCTCCTACCCATGTATCTCATGATAATACACTGAATGATAATTAGATATCAACTCTCTTTGAATTAATTGTTGTTTCATTTAATTTGATTCAGTTCACTTAACCGTATGAACCAGGTCAGTATTAGAGGTGGTAAATTGTTAACTAATTGTTGATAATCATTGTAAGAATTATATAAATCATTATCATCTTCCTCCACCCCCTTTTATACATCATCTATTATCATCATCTCCTAATCATCTCATGGCTATTCACCTTTCGAGAGGATTAACAAAACTTTTCAGTTAATTCAAGAAGGAAAAAAAAGTTCTGATCTCAATTCAACTACAATTCTAACCAATTGTAATCAATAGACTTTTAGTTTTTGTCGTAATTCAATTAACTAATTGTTACAATCGTTTAATTGATTTCGTTGGTATCGTTAACCTTCATAGGATTTGTAAAGATTTCTCAATGCAACAATTAAGTTCAAAGTTAACAGTTAACTACGAGAGCGAAGGTTAATCCAAATTGTTAGCCAACAATTAACCATCAATGTTAACAATTAAGTTTACTTATGATTTTTTTCAACTCTATATTAATTTACGACTAAATTGTTTAGATAATTAGTAAATTATTAACACTATTTAGAAGCTAAATAAGGAAGTCAATGGTTTTACAATTAAAATTGCAAACAATTTACTAAGTAATTTTAACCTAAATTACTTGATCAGTTGAAGAAACATTTTGGTAACAATTTACTCTAAAAGAAAGTGATTAGATTAGTTTTAATTTAGTTTACATAATCATCATAACCATTAAGCTGGAAAATTAACCGATATTAACAATTTGGCAACAATTAAGAAATGATAACAAAAACTATTAGAATCCAAGGAAAATTTTATCGAGATAATTAATGAGAAATCAATGAACTTCTGAAAATGACTTAATAATAACTGTACATGAATACAAAGATAAACTTCTTGATTGTGATTAATTGTAATCAATTGAAGAATAGCAAAAAAAAAGGTTAAATGTTTCAATTCATAAATCATATTAAATCTCATAATATCAATAACATCAATCTGATTATCCGAGTAACTGAAAAAAGTGAAACATTTTATCATGAAATTGAATTGATGGGAACAGTAACCTGTCAAAAGGAAACTCATAATAAATTGATTTACTTTCAGGGTGATTTTTTTTACATGTACGACAAATTTAACTGTTATTTGATTGTAACAATTTAATCATAATCCACCCTAACCCTTACCCCTCTACTCCACCCATTCATTTATCCCTCAGTGTATTCATGTCACTTTTTTTGTTGTAATTTCTATGTGTAAATGAGTAATATAAGAGAGAAAGAGGAAAAAAGTTCTGATTCAAAGTTTTGTGATTACTGTTTTTTTTCACATTCATGGTGATTAAAGTTAACAATTAAAGTGATCTTGTTGATTATTATTCATTATTAATAATGATAAATAATATGATTGATGCTAATGGTAACCCCAAGGTTCTGAGAGTGATAATGATTAGTTAGTTGTAATTATTTCCCATTCTCGTTTCATCTTCATCATGGTGATGATTCATTTCAATTCATGAATGAATGAATGATCATGTGTACAAATATTAAACCATTATGATGTTTGCCCTTTTCTATTATTATGATTAACTTAATTGCTAAGCTTTTTTTACACTATTCAATGAGTGTTATTCATTTGTTTTTATCATGTTCTTGATATTTGCATGAATTTTTGTTTCTTTCATGATTTTTGATGATTTTTTTTCTTCTTTTCTATTTCAAATTGTTCAGGTTTCGATCGATCCATCCCTGGTTATCCTCGTTATAGTATGGAGGGTAATCCAATCAAAGGTGAACATAATTTACAAATTGAAAATGCTTCAATTGATGACGATGGTGAATACCAATGTCAGGTAAGTTCATTGATAATGTCCGAGTGAATAAATAAATAAAAAGTTCTGATATAAGATAAGATTACATTAGGAATTGATTCTTATCATTTGAGATAAAATTCAATTTATTGAGCTTTTTTTGTTCATTTCGGAGTCTCAGTTATCGTCTCCATGGTTATCTTTTTGCCTTCTACAGAATCATGATGATAATCAGTTAGTTATATGAGATTAGTTGGACGAGAAAAAAAAGTTCTGATAAAAAGCTCAGTACGATCCGAATGATTTTCTCAACATTTTATCTCATTTCAATAATATTATCTCATTGACCTAATTAACATGATGTTTACAATGTTCATCAGATTACATTCAATCAGATTAATACATATATTTGATTTCTCTCTCTCTCTTTTGACATTTCCCTTTTCCAGGTTGGTCCAGCATCCAATAATAAAGCAATCAGAGCTAATAGCAGATTAACGGTTCTCCGTAAGTATCATTATCTTTTATCCGAATTGATTGTTAATCACAATTAACCAACGCAATTAGTATTTGACTCAATCTTTCCCTCCAAATAAGGTTGAAAACCGAATCAAAATTAGATCATAAATAAACTGAATCAATATATTACAATTAATGATAGAAAACCGAATTTGAGAAAAGCTTATTATTATTTTTTCCTTCGTTCTTGATGAAATTAATGAAAAGAATGGAGAGGAAAAAAATTAACTATTAAGTAAATATATGAATAGATAATAATGCTAAAAGGAACCAAGAGAAATGCCTCAGGCTATTTTCTTAAATTTCTTAGCTCAATTTTTTTGTTTTTCTTTCTCTTTCACAATAACTTGAGGCTTCAATTTTTTTTCTTCCATTGAAAATGTTACATATAAACAGACAGAAAAAAAGAAGAAATTTTTTCGTTTCAGTTATCAAACTTATCGGTCATTTGGTGATATTGGAAAAAAAAGTTCTGACCAGTTCGAACCTTTTATAGTATAAACTAATCATGAATTCATGTAACATGTTTCCAAATTAATTCTGAATAAACAATGTAACTAATTTACTTTTTCATTTGATTTAATTTTCTCTTTTTTTTTGTTTACAGTTAAACCTAAAAAGATTGAAATCATTGGTCATTCCAATGGGTCAGCAGTCGAGGTGAGAGAGGGTGAAAAGGTCACTCTTACCTGTCTAGTTTACGGAGGTAAACCCTCCGCTAAGATCAAATGGTTTCGCCGAGAAACTGAGCTTAATTCAAGTAAGTAAATCGCCAACAAAAAAAATCTTTCATCATGATAAGAATCATGAACAAGTCGAAAAAAAAGTTCTAAGTGCCAAAGTCAGAATTTTATATTTTCGCCTGAATTTGTATTCAGTAAAGTTTTAGCTTCATTTTTTTTTCCTTCATCATCATCACCACCAACTCCTCCTTATGATTCCGGAAATTATCTTCATCACGTTTATCCTGAAAACCTAAACTCAATATAATTCAGATCTCGGTTTGTTCATCCTCTTATTATCATCTCGATAATAATATTATCATCATGTTGGTGTAACTGATAAGTTATGATGCTCCTTGTTGTTGTAATAGTTTCAAATGTTAGCAAACGCAAAGAAAAAAAAACAAACTTGATAAATGAAAAAAAAAGAGCAGAAAACATCATCTCCACCCTGATAATGGATCCACCTTGTTGTCTCTCTCATTTCAGGCTTTGAATCTTTTTTTTCACCATAAATTCAGTAATCGGTGCCAGGGTGATGCTCACGATTTCTAGTAACTGATATTTTCCACTCATTGAGTTGTAGTTGTTTTTGTTTCCATTTGTGGTCAACCTTAATTTCAGCAGATTCTCAATTTTAATTGCATCTTATTGCATTCTCTCTCACTCTCATGATTACGTTTCATGAGCTGAAATGTTTTCATTGATTATCACCTTTGCAATTAGATTTGATTGAAGAAAAATTTTAATTCCTGCTAATTTGATTGAATTTAATTTCTATTCTCATGATTAAATTTTGTTTAATTTACTGTAAACAAGAATAGATTTTAGTTGATTGTTGATGTATTAACAACAATAGACTTTGAATACTTATAATCATCATGTTTACTTTTTCAATTGATTTTAATTTTCTCATTCTCTTTGCAACTTAAATTAAAGTAAATATCAAGTTAATTGTTTACAATCAAAAAGGCGATAAAATTGATTGTATTTACAGAAAAGTGGAAGAAAAAACAAAATTATCACTAAAATGATGATGATAATGATGATGATGTTGTTGATAATCATAATCTAATTATGATTGTATCTCATTTTCAACCCTTTTGATTAGAGTAACATAATTGAAGACAAATCATCGTTTCCTTTTCCGGTTTTGTTTACAAAGTGAAAAGGATGTTGAACAAATTGAAAGAGTATTTTAATTGTTACACTTGATTGATTGATTTTTTTTCTCTCTCGTTCTTATTCAGCTTCCCTTCCAAATCAAAGTGTCTTAACTGTAACATCTTCTACCAATGATGGTGTCTCATCTTCTAATGGAGGTGGTGATTCAATTACCACCACAAGATCTGAATTATCACTTAAACTAAACGCCGAGGATAATGGTATTACTTATACATGTTCAGCCTCTCATCCTGCCTTATCATCACCCCTGCGATCAACTGTTTCCATGTCCGTTTTATATCCGCCAAGTGCACCTGAGATTTCAGGTTATCACACTGGAGATATAATCAGAAAAGGAGATACATTGAAATTGAGATGTAGATCTCGAGGTGGTAATCCATTAGCTCAACTAATTTGGTACAAAAATGACGAGCCAATTGATTTCTCATTTGATTCTCACAGTAATCGAGAATCAATCAATGAATATACCTTTGAAGTTGATTCGGATGATAATAATGCCAAGTTTACCTGTGAAGCTAAAACACCAATATCTTCAAATGCGATGACCACTTCAGTTACTTTATCCGTTCAATGTAAGTCTCATATTGTTAATCCACTTTTAATCCTCCTTTTCCAATACAATGGTAACAATAAGATAACCATGTTTATTATTATATATCAATTTATCATCTGATTAACTCAACATGAAACCAAAATTATCTCATTGTGATCATTTAGTTTGTTGATTATGATGAACGTGAAAAATGATTCATATCATGATAATAATTATCAGGATATAATAATTTACCTGTGTGAGTGTTTATTATTACCTTGGATATGAAGTAAATTGTATAATAAATAAATTATGGTAAGAAAATGTGAAAATAACAAGATGATAACGATTGAATGATAATGATGATCATGATGATTAAGATTACGATTAAGTTGATGATAATTATTAAGTGCGTGAAGATTAACTCGTGAAGTCAATTTTTCGTCAGAAAAGATAAAAGTAGTTACCCAATGGAAAAAGGTATTGAAATGAATGGAAAATGAATAGTTAGTAGTAGTAATAGATGAAAAGAAGAAGAGGAAAAAAAAATATAATAAAAACGATCCATTGAAGAAAAAAAAATCTCAGGTAAAAGTGGTCAAGGTAAAGAAATGAGAAGGTAAAGTTTACAGGTAACTCGACGGAATCAACTTGTTGTTATTATTCAGTTGCTTCATTATCATCATCATCTTCATCTTGATGATTATCATCAATTTTTTCAGCTCCTTAAGAAGGTAAAAATAATAAACATTGACCATAAGCATAATCGTGCAGCGGTAAATTTGCAAAACATGATAACCTCAACCTCACCTGAGCAACTAATTGTATCCCAATTCTTGCTTCATCCTCTGCCTTTGTTACTTATCATCCTCATCATTATTAACGATATCATTAATATCATATAAGGATAATAATAATCATTATCATCCATTTCTCTCTCTCTCTCTTTTCTTCTTGTCTACCTGTCTGATTACCTGTTTCTCTTATCCATTGTGTCCATCTTCATCTTCATCTTTTCTGATTCACTGATTACTCATATTGTTATCATGTTATTCTTGTTGTTGACTGTTAACTGATTTCTTTTTTTTTCTCTCACTTCTTCTCATCCATTTTCCATATATATTTAACTCACGATATTTTTTCTTCTTCTTCATTTCTCTCCATCAGTTGCTCCTTCATCAGTCACAATTGTAGGTTTATCTGAAGCTAAAGCGGGTGATAATGTTACCTTGATCTGTAAAACTGAACCGTCTAATCCGCCCGCTGAATTGAACTGGTCAATCGATGGCCGGACAATTAAAACTGAAAATAGTCATAAATCACAATCCAAGGGTGGAGGTTATATAACAACGACAAACATAACGGTACCAATATTGTCAACGGTAGGTTATCATCATCTTCAATCATAATAATCACTTTGATTATCATTCAAATGTAATTTCAATTTGATGATAAAAATGTTAATCCAATCAATTGTCAATCATATTGAAGGATTAATCATTAATCCTTTTGTCTCATTTGTATATCTCATATTTAATTACATGTTTGATATTTTTGATATTTCAGTAATTATTTATAAATTGTTCATTGGCTAAACTCATCATCAGTTAATTTAATTGCACAAAATTTGAGATGAAAAGTTTTCCATATAATTAACATATCACCTTAATTGTTTTAATCTTCATTATGATTGATGCAGTGTAATATGATAATTGGAAAGGATGAAGATGAAGATGAGGATGAGATGTGGAAAAATAGTAATGGGAAAGGAGGGAGTGATTAAGTTGATTTCATGATAAGTTACAGATATTGAACTGAATCAATTGGGCGGAATTGATTTGAAAAATTTTGCTGTGTTTTGTTTCAGTGAATATTGAATGAATCAAATAGATTTCATGTCAAAAGTGAATATTTAACTTTGATTGATAACAAAAGGCTCATGAATTGATTGAGTTATTAGTTAATTACTTTATCCTCATCATGGATAATTATTCATACGATTGATTGGAAGATGATTAACATTAAATCAACTATTTCTGCGCTTTGATTGAAGAAACAAAAATAAGCAGAATTATTAATAATCCATCTTGTTTATCTCTTCACAGGAACGAAGTGTGAAAACTTTTTCATGTTTTGCTATTAATCGAGCTCTCGATACAACAGTTACCGCCACTCATGCCTTAAATATCTTGTGTAAGTATCTCATGAATTCTCAGAGTTTGGCCTTGGAAATTCATATTTATACCTCATCCTTTTCCTCTTAAACTTGATTTTCTTGTATAATATTCAAATTTCCCTCAAAATTCTGGGATAAAGTTATTTTCTATTCTTACCTTGATCCCTTCATCACTTTGGTCTCATCAGAAGTTTTATCGAAAAATTCTGTTATCTTATTACATCAGAATCTTAATTTGGTGAGAGGATTTTTTTCCTCTCTGATGGAAATTCTGATACCACTGAGCAAGAAAAAAAGAATTATTGTTTCATGTAGTAGCTGAGAATTCTTAAGTTCCGATTCTGACTTTTTTTCTCTCTTCCCATGTTATATTTTCTTCTCGATTTTTTTCCTTCCTCCGATCATCTTGTTTGATATTATATTCGAATTCTATCATTTCCTCTCTCTCTCTCTCTCTCTCTCTCTCTCTCTCTTGTCTCTATTTCAAATCACCCAAGTTGTGAACTAATCCTAACATTCAGAATTTTATCCATGAGTTTTATCACTTTCTCTCCATGTTATTTATCTTGAACTGAGAAAATTTGAAAACAGTGAATCCCTCAAAGTTCATCTTTCTCTTATCCTCTTGACCAATTTCATTTGGAACTTTTTTCCCCTTCTAAATGTTGATATTATCTTGGAGACTTTATCTTGTCCCCTGTCAGAATTTACCTCTCAATTTATATCTTGAATTTCATTCTGGTCAATAGATTGTTGAATGTCCGGTTGACTATCATTGAGGTTAATTAAATTTCCAAACTTAATTTTCTTCCTGTTCTCTTTCAAATTAATGATTAACTGAGTCTCAACTATTTTTTTCTTCTTATTGATTAACTTTGATGTAGGTTAATGATTAAGATGAAGATCAACTTGTTGATTATTATTCAATGATTCAAATCTTTCATCATTTAGAAAAGTAAACAACCAAACATTGATTTCAATTGAAGAAAATCTCAATCAATCCGATTAAATTTGGATTAGCAATTAAGTGACAAGAATTACTGATTATATAAAGTAGTAGCTAATGATCAGTCTAATTAGTGACATAAATAATTTGCTTATGAATGAATTGACAACCGATTAACATTATGATGAAGATTAGATGATGAAAAAGATGATAAAGAATCCATGATATCAACAAATGATGAAGATGATTAATTAAACATAATCAGAAATGATCATCATGTTAGTTTGTTAAACATGAGGGTGAATTGTATTGAAATTTAAGTTTATCATAAATGTAAAAAATTGTTGATGATCAATGAAAATTATCAGTTATCTTTTATTTCATCCTCATCATTCAACCCATCAGATTGATAATCATCATCATCATCATCATCTTGATAATCAGATGAGTTATTGACCGGTAGCCTCTCTCTATCATTCTGATAATCAACATTATCAAAATATCTATAACTGTAATTAACTTGATTGGTTTGGGCGTCTCGTGGTTTGAGTAAGATGAATGATTAATCCAATTGCTCATCTTCATCTTCATCCTCATCCTTTTTTTTTACTGTTGTTTTCTCATTTATCATCATTTGTAAACATTCACATTCATTGATAACAAGAAGATAACATTGCCTTTCCTTAATCATTCATAATCATCCTCATCCTCCTAACTTCTTGATCATCATTAACTCTTAACAATTTAAATTTAACTTTTCCTCTTCATCCCCTCTATCCTTTTATAAAATATCATCTTAATCTTCCTGATGATCATTATTATAATTGTATGGGTCTTGAAATGATAATTTCACATGAAGATTCACCTTATAAGCCTTCAATTATTGGTTACGATGAGTCTACACCTCTACGTGCTGGCTCAGTTAAACGCCTTACCTGTGAATCTCAAGGTGGTAATCCCTTAGCTGACCTTAAATGGTTCAAGGGTAAAGATGAGATAACCTCAGGGTTTACGATTTCTTCAAAAATAAACGGAATATCATCTGAATTAACCTTAATTGTCAAAGATTCTGACAATGGGGCAACTTATCGTTGTGAAGCATCAAATTCAGCGACAATTAAACCACTCGAAGCTTCAGTTAAATTAACGGTTTTTTGTGAGTATTTTATATATTAGACAGTTTAAAATTAACTCATCAATAATCAGAATCAATTAAATCACAAACTCAAAGGCGGGAGAAATAAATTGATCTGGAAAAAGTTAATCATTTAAAGATTTTGTAACTTTTACATGGAAAATGATCAACATTTAAGATGTGAAAGTTAATTTAATTATAAACACTAATTCGTGATTAAAATATTCATAAAAATTCAACTATTATCATGATTGTATATTGAATATTGAACAACAATTAACTAAGGAAATATAATTGGTAAGATTATTAAGTTATCATAAAGGTAAATGAGTACGAAGAAAAGTTTTTATGATTAACATGAAATCGATTTCGTGATTTATTTTGGTTCTGCTTAATGAGAAAACAGTTCTAATATAGCATTCTAAGAATAATAAAATTAATAAAGAAAATTATCTCCATCTCACTCACTCACTCATCTCTCTCTCATCTTCATCACCGATGATAATAAACAAATGGAAACCTATGATTATTATGATTAGTTGCACCGTCCAAAGTGAAGATTAAATCACGACCAGGTCGTATCAAAGCGGGTACAGAAGTTGACCTTATCTGTGAGACCGAATCCTCTAATCCGGCTTCTGAGGTGGTCTGGTGGAGAAATGGTCAACTCTTACCTGGAAATGTGAAAAAACCGATTGATTCATCGTTCGGTGGTAAATCGTCCAAAAGTATTCTAAACATAAATGTTACCTCTTCCGACGATGGAACCATATTTACCTGTCAAGCAGAGAATCACCTGTTAGATCAGAAAGTTCATGATTCGATAACATTAAATGTCCAGTGTAAGTTTTGACCAGTCAAATGAACTGAAACATTTTGCCAAAAAAGTTCATCTTCATCATGCTTTTCATTTCATCATGGAATTTGTTTGCATATAAATTTTATCTTTTCTTTTGTTTTGTCTCATGCAAATGCTTTTGCCATTATCATTTATTGACCATTGTCCAGTCAACTGTTTTTCGTTTCATGGTCACTGAATGATTCTCATTTTTGTTTTACTCTCTAATTATCTTGAGGCAATTGCAATCAAACAATTAGTTAATTTTTGCAATTGCAGTGATATCGTTTCTTTTTGTTTGGTTTGCAATTTTTTCATTATCTTCATTTGACCAACTGACCATTTACTTTTACTGTTGTTGTTGTTGTTTTTTGTATCTTCCCTGCAAGATTCAATTATTTTATTATTATTTTCATTTACTCTGAATCATCATGGTTCAGATTCATGTTTCTTACTGTTGATTTAATATGAATTTCATTTCATAATTGATTTTATTTGATTTTCTCTCAACTTTTTCGCTTCCACCTCCAACTTATTGAACTTTTTTTCTGCTCCCCTCTTCTTTGTTTGCTCATTTTCATGGTGACTTCTGAACAGAAATCATTTTTCATCTAATCCAACACTCAGTGTGTTTCATGATGTCACCATTGTCTCGAACATCTTATCCTTTCCCACTTTAGAACTTTTTTTCTCATTGTAAACATAACCCACTCTCTCTCTTCCCTTCCCTTTGGCTTTTGATATTTTCCACCCCACTCCCTCTCACTCCCACTGCAGCTTAGCTGAGCTTCTGTTTGCTTAAGCTACTCGGTGTGTCTCTCTGATTTATTAACAATCATCGTAACTTGATTATGGTGACTTCTTTCCTTCCCACTCCCACTTTGATATATCATTTTTTTCACCATTGTTTTTTTTTCTTGTTTATTTTTCTCACTCTCACTTTTTTTGGACTCACTTTTCCTCTCTCTCGCTGTCAATTTCATCCAATGACACAACAAACATTTCACATTGACACATGAACAACATAACTGGACACTCTCATGGACATGATGATGAAATCAATCTTCTTCTCTTTTCCCTTTTGTTTCTTACCATTAATTAAAGTCAAACCTGAATTTGGATCAGAATCAATGGTTTCCTTTGAACTGGTTGAAGGTAATGAAGCTTCAATCAACTTGACTGCTCGAGGTAATCCAGCTAATATCAAGTATAAATGGCATCGTATCAGTGGTAATAATGGACTGGACAGTACGAGATTCATAACCGAAGGTCCAGTTTTCAATATCACTTCAGTTCTAAGGCAAGATTCAGGTTCATATCTGATAGAAGCCACTAATTCACAAGGAACCACCAAATTACCTTTCACATTGAATGTTAAATGTGAGTATCAGAAAAAATGAAAAATTCACCCACCATGTATTTCCACCTCTTTTACAGTCTCTCGATCGATTTTTCCTCCTTCTCTCTACATTACAGAACAATTTATTTCCAAATTGAATTCGATTATGCACTTACCCCTGATTACTTTTACCATGAAAATTATAATTGATATTCTTGACTTGAGTTTATTATTAATTACCTTTTTCCTCCATGATATACATAATCAATTTGTCCAGAAATAATTTGCATTTGAATGAAGTATGATAATAGATACAAAATGAATTTGATATTTTTGTTCATCTCCCCTGAAAGATTTCAGGCCTTGATGAAATGATGAATAATGATAATTCTGTGAATGAAATATGAGTTTACCATGATATCAGATGAATCTGGTCAATGTTAAGGTGCTGTTGATTGTGATGAGTAATGATGATAATGGTGATGAGAGAGAGAGAGAATGATGAAAAAAAGTTCTGATAAAAAATGAGCATTCTGGACGATTTATATGTATTATCTTATATCATGAGAGACGAAAAAATTACTAGGATTATCATGGAAAAGACTCAAATGTAATACATTAGATCTGAAAGTCTCCTGAAAACAATTCTCGTATTACCTTAAAGCCTTTTTCTTACCTAATCCTTATGAAATCCACTTATTTAATCCTAGATGATTAAGTCATTACATAGATAATTTAATCATCTGTATCAACTTGAGTATTCCAAGTGTATCTTTCATGATGCACTAATTGTTTTGGTCTTATTCAATTTCTTTTTTCGTAGACGCTGCAACAATTACACAGAAAAGTGACCTTGCCCTCGTTGATATCGGAAAAACGGCTTATCTTGAATGTACCGTCGATGCTAATCCAATAACTAAAGATTTAATCAAATGGCAACGAAAACCCAATTATGTTGAAGATTCACTTGAATCGTTTACAACTTTACCAACATTTGATTCAGATTCTGTTACCATGAGTGATAATGAACGTTTCAAGATAACAATACTCGATAACAGGTCATTCCTGAGCGTTTTCAATGTTTCAGAATCCGATTCAGGAGCTTATGAGTGCCTTGCATCCAATGGAATTGGTTCACCTGATTCAGCAACGACAAATTTAATTGTTAAACGTAAGTTAAATTTATATCATGAAGCATGAAATGATTACTATTATTTGATGAAATTCTGAATTCTAAATGAATTAACTTAAATACGTGTATTCATATGGACGTTAGTTCAAATATCGAGAATTCAAATATCGAGAATGTCAATCAAAGTGATTTATCTAATTGTTGTCAATCGATTGATTATTATTTCTCATGATAAACATGATCATGAGAAGAGGATATTCAGTTGGTTAGATTGAAGATTCTCAAAGGTTAATCAGGTTTATTTACCGATTATTGGTGTTGAATTGTTTTTCTTTCATGATGATGATGATAACCAATCAGAATTATATTCGTTTGATGAAAGTTCTGTTATGAAGATTCTGTGATGAAGATAAATTGATTGAAACGGAAATGTGGTTAACCAATTATGCATGATAAACGTTACTTAAATATACACAAGTGCAATGAAACTGACTAAGAAATTACCATGAGGATGATGTGAATTTCATGAGAATTGGATGAGGATGAGGATGATAATCATAATTGTGAGTAACAGTGAAATGATATAAGTTTTACCCGATAACTGTTGTTTCTCAATTGGTCAACTGGTCATTTGTTTTTATATAACATAGAAACTCTGGTGTGAATCATGAAAAAGGACAAGTTTTTATTGTGACCATGAGAAAATGTTACTGTTGATTTACTGATGATTAAGATTGTTGTTGAGGAAAGAAGAGGAAAATTCTGATACTCAGAATAATTTTCATGGAAACAAGAAATGGAGAAGATTATAGATGAAATTATATATTGGAATACAGGGAATCGAATGGCGAAGAAATAGAGAAACGATAAAGAAGATCAACTTTTATCTCTCTCTTCATCTTTATTTTCTTCAGCTAAAGCTGATTAGATTCTTGTCTTCTTTCATCCATTTCTCTCTCTTTCTCTATTTATCTTTCAGTCCATGATGAAACCTCACATTGATAATAAATCGAACGAAAATTTCATCAGCGTCATGATGAAGAGCATGATGATGATTCGTTAGGAAGAAGAGAGAGAGAGAGAGAGAGAGATATAAATATGGTTCAAGGGTAAAAGATCAGATCGTAAATGTTAAGTTCTATGAGGGGAAAGATTCGGCAAAATGAGAGAGAAAAATTTCATTTCAAGTTCCATATCAAGACGAATTACTCAACATGAACTTGGAACTTTTTTTATATTCTTTTTCTTTGGTTCGATGATTTTTGACATGTTAACCAAGGTTATCATTGTGACTTCGAATCTTGTTGGTGTCACTTTAGTTTGATACTTTTCTCTCAATCTCTGTTTTCATTATTTTCTTTTCAATCAACTTCCGTTTCCTAATGTCCACCCATCGACACCAAAAGAAAGATGTACACAAAATCATCTACTAGTCAGTTTGATTTAAGAATGAAAGATTTGGTCAGTTGTTGAGATGATAATCTGAAACTTGGAAAATGATTCAATGGACACTTGATAGAGCCACAGAATTGTTGATTATGAATTGTTCTTTATAAATTTCAAACTAATTCTCTTACTGGATTGATAATGATAAATTCTCGGCAAAATTTCGCCCTCAGGCATTATTCTGATTTTCCATCTATTTGTTTGTTTATTTTTATTTTTCAATTAGAAAATGAGTTAATTGAGTTGAACAACAAAACATTGAGCCTTGAAAAGGTCAACCGAATTGATTGACCAGTTAATCCTTCGAGTTGAGTAAAAATCGAGTTAATCAATTAACTGTTCAATGAAAATCAAGAGTTGATCTTTTCTTATCCTTGGATATTTGCATGAGTGTGCATTTGATTAGATTGGTTAACAATTAGATTGATGTTAATTAATTGACTTGATTTTGTTTCTTCAACTTGATTTGTTTATAATCAACAAACTGTAAATTTAGGTTGACATGAATTAGATTTATGAAACTAATGTTATCCTCAATTTATGAGCGGTCAAGTAAAGTGGTCAACATGAATTTCTCTTGGCTTTCACCAGAGTTAAGCATTTATTGGAACTGAACTAGTTCCGTTTCCGTTGACTCAATAGTAATTTTCTCCTCGTGAATAGTAAAATTGATGTGGTGAACTATTTTTTCGATCCGTTTATATTATGAAGAGTAAGAAAAAGTTTCGAAAACAAAACATGATAAATAACAGAATTTTTCTCAGTCTATTTCATGTAATTCTTTCACATCTTCACCAGTGGAAATGTTCCAATGAACTTTTGGACATTTTTCTTTCAAAGATTTTTCGAAAATGTTATTTTGCTTCTTGTTCTTTTTCTATCATCTTCATTGAGACTTTTTTTTCTCATTTACAGTCTGTCAAACAGTTCGAACTTTGGAATAAAAAAAAAGTTCCAACAGAATTCCAAATGTTACTCTAAACTTTTCGAACTGAATCGAACGACCAATAAAAGATACTGATCATAGTAGAACCATAAATAATTGTGTCGAGTTCACATCTTGTCAGACTGTTCATTGAGATTTAAAGTTCAGATATCATGAAGTTGAGATTGATTCATATTCTTGGTGAAGTTGAAAAAAGTAAAACAAATGAAACTCATTCTCATGGATTGAACTTTATCTCACCTTTAGCTTTAATCATTACTATTATTTCTTGTACCAGATTCATTTCTGTTCAGAAAGTTCAGTTAACCTCGTAATCTAATAAATAAATTGATTAAACCCTTTCACGGGAATAGCAGTCGTTTTATCAGCATTTCCCGCGCGAAAAAGGGCAGAAATAAGTTCAACTACCTCTCTCGAATTGTCTGGATAACTTAAGATCTCCTGTTTCTTTCAGTTGTTTTAGCGGAAAAAAGGAAAAAGTTCTGGTTACTATGGAAACGTTCTGGTGTAGATGGAAAAATCTAATAACTTGTTTTGTTTTCACACCAACACACAAGAAAATGATGAAAAACTTGATCATCTTCATCATTTTATGCTCATCTTAACACAATAAACAGGCAATTATTACACTTTGCATGATGATTATGATGATACTGATTATTCTGAACTTTCATTAACGAATTTGAATTTAAAACTAACCTAATCCTTTTCTTTTCTCTTTCATTGTATCATCTCATCAGTCAAGGGAATTGAAAATTGCATCACCTATCAAGCGAATCATGATAATAATCTTCATGATGATATTATCGGAAAATTTATTCCTTTGGTTATTCTGAGATATTTTTATCTATTCTCTTCATTTCTTTCCTTTTCCTGTTTTCCTTTTCGTCCATAGAAAAAAAAAACAAATTCCCAATGCAATTTTTTCTTCTCTCTCAATTTTGAAATGTATCTTTCGGAATAGGAAATTATTCTGATTGATGAATTTCCTTTTTGGAACTTTTTTTTTCTAAACTTTAAATGTTCAATTTCTCGTAATTTCGTTAATTTGAGATTTTAATTGCCTTTTCTCTTGCAATTTTCAAAATCTCCTCATGAGATTAACAAGATAATTAGAATCACAATTTCCCATCAACTCTCTTATTACATTTATTTGATAGCAATTTCATAATAACAAAGCTTATTAATAAATATCAACCTCTTGATCAGTTCGTGATCATTGAGAACTGCTTAAAAATGTAATTCAATCAATTGAGTTGTGATACAATTTGATTTCAATATGAATACTCAGCCTGATTCTGTTATCCACAATTTCATCAGCCTTTCATTAGCCTCAACGATTCACAGAGTATCATCTATGTAATTATTTTGATCTTTCTCATTAGTTTAAATTACATTTATTGACCTGATTTAGAGTTTTCGAATTAGTTTCAATTCCAATTGAACGTTATCGAGCCATTAATCAGCTTAATAACTGTTCTGGAAACTCATCATCATTAGAAACAATGAGAGTGCAAAATGAAAAGTTGATTAATATTTGAGACTGGAAATTAGGTTGTTTCATATTTCCATGAAACGATTATTATTTCAAGAGTAAAATGAAAAATTCTGAAAATAATTTGCAAACAATCATGAAGCTAATGATGAATATTTTTCGTCCAATTTTCAGATCAACCTCGAATTCTGATGGCACCGATTCTATCGAAATCAGCAAGTGACAATGGTTCAAAGGGTCGACTGGTTTGTCGGGCTCAAGGTGCACCAAACATTACGTTCCAATGGTTTCGAGAAGGAGCAATAATATCAGAGAAAATGACCAATAACAAATATACAGTTGAACCCATTGAACAGCCAAATTTGATTACTTATCAGAGTACATTGGTCATCAATGATGTCACCAATAAAGACTATGGTCCATATGAGTGTATTGCTCGTAACGAGTTAGGACTTAATCGTTTATCTATTCACTTTAATCGGACATCACCTCCAGATCCACCATTGACATTGAAAATTGTCAACAGAACAACATCAAGTATAACATTAAGGTGGATTCCTGGTTTTGATGGTGGTTTAAGTCAATCTTTCAGGTTAAGGTATCAGAAAATTGACACCAAATCATCGGATGACTCGAACACTGTTATTTCATCATCAACATCATCACCCTCAGACAATAGTTTATCATCATTATCGTCAACAACTTCATCCGTGGTCTCATCTGAACCTGCTCAGTATTCTGATGTCCATCCTTCAAATACAACAATCTTTACCATCAAGGGATTAACAGATAATTCTGAATATTCATTTAATGTAATGGCTTATAATGACCTCGGAGAAAGTAAATATAACATGGATAACATCAGAGGAAAAACTCTTCAGGGTAATTTTAATGATTATCTGTTCATGGGAAAAAGATCATGTTTCATCATTTCAATTTCTGTCATGAAAGATCGACAGAATTGAAAGAAGAGAAGGAAAAAAAACAATACCATTAATTGGGTCTATCGAATATGATGAATCTTGATTTTTTTCTCCTTCTCTTTTCACCGTTTATGTTAATATTCTGATTGACAGATTAGTTTCATTTTCGATGATTATTTATTCATTGGTGCTTTTTTCTCTCCTCATTTGGGATTAATTATTCTTCTTTTTTTTTTGCTTCTCTTCTTATAATAGAAACTCCAGTTTCGGAGACTGAGAGAATCTCTCAAGTTTTCTCTGGTCAATCGGGTGATGTTCCTCGCTTGATAATCATTGCGGTTTCGGTTCTTGGAAGTACATTGTTACTACTCAACGTTGTTCTTGTTATTTGTTTTGTCCGAAAACGAAGGAAAAAGAGACTCGAAGAAGGTAAGTCAAGGTCACGAAATTTCCCGTTCGTTGGTACAAAACGATATTCGGTTGAGTTTTTCGACCAAACTATTCTCATCATTTTGAAACAATCCAAATGGAACCAGTTACCATGGTTATCGAGTTAGCGCCTTCTATCGGGATGCTCTGGAAACTTAATGATCATGAAATGATTTTTCAGTGATTAATTATCGTGAATCATCATGAACCATTTTATGAAATTTCTGTTGAAAGCAAACTCGTAACCAAAGTCAATCAACTGAGCTAAATGATCAACTTAGAAACAATTAATCTTATTTAGAACCAACAACAATTAGACTTTTCAACTAATCGAATAATTTTCATCGAAAACTTTGATTAGAACTTTTTTCTTTTTCTTCTTGTGAAACTCAATCATTATCTTCATTTGAATACTTTTTTTTTCCTTTCGAAACAAAAAAAAAACTTTTCGATTTAAGTTCGAGTTGAAATGTTTAATTTCTTATTCTGATAATTGATTATATCTCCTGATTTTTTCTTCTTCTTCATCTTTTAAACACTAAAAAAACTATTTACTGGTTCTCTCGAAATCAGGTTATCTGATTAATGAGAAAGAGAAACAAATTCCTGAAAATTTTATATCCATGAACTTGTGAATCTCCATGAATATTGAAACTGATCTGTTTTTCTAGATTCGAGGAGAAATTCAATTTTTCTCATCATTAGATTGATGGAAACTCATTCATATTATCGTTACACTGATCATTTCATTTGATAATTGCTCTTGGTCCAGATTCAATTGTAATAATTTAATGTACTCACAACTTTTCAGTTGAATTAAATTAATCAAATAGATTCACAATTATGTTAATTCAATGGCTGAATTCACGATGGTCATTATCATGATGATACATGATCATTTCTGTTTCAAATTTTTCCATTCATTGGTTTATGAGATTCTCTCTCTTTTTTCATCTTTTATATCAACATGATCCTTTTGTTTCCTATGCTTTATTTCCGGTTTATATTTCCTATAATTATATCAAAACTCTTGTACCAACACAATAAAAAGTTGATTATGACCAATGGATGACCAGTAGTGGAAAAGATTCTCCTCGTCATCATCATTTATCCGCATCATGTTCATCTTCCTGATTCTAATCTTTCTCTCTTTGTTTATTTTCTCTTTCTTTTTGATTCATCTTCTTCTCCTCTAATATATATTGTCCTTTTCTCATCATACTCATTAATTATAATGATGATGACGATGATGATGATGCTCTCATTTTTGGTGATCATGGACATTTTTTTTTACTCGGATATTGACTTGAAACTTTTGGATATCATATTATTATCACCATGGATATATTTATATGTTCAGAAACTGATGGATCAAGTACAAATAAACCGGCAACCATTGAAATGTATGCACCAGCTTCCGGTTCAGGCGGAAGCTACACTAATGGACCTAATGAAACATCATTATCTGCAAGTGATGAGGAAAAGCACAGTGAAGGTGCTTACTCAGGTCAAACGGACTATGTAATGGTAATTATTGCGATTCTATCATGACAATTAAATTGCCAATATAATAATTGAGCTTTCGCTTTAGTAATTAGTTAATATTTTTTGAAAGTTTCTCTTTTGTTTTAATCACATGATAATTATATTGTGTGTATGAAACCAATTTCCTATTTCCGTTATTCATCATCAATGAGATAATTACATGAGTTATAAGTTTGATTATTTTCGTCTATTCCTTGAAGGGAGTGAAAAATTTAATTTCCACCAATTAGATTAACTAATTGGTATCAATTGAAACTTTGTTATAATCGCAATTAGAAGGGGAAAAAATCTATTTACTTACCGTTATCTTGTTTTCCTATTGCTCATCATTTCCGCATCCTTTTTTGTTATTCATCAATTATTATCTCTCTCTCTCTCTCTCTCTCTCTCTCTCTCTCTCTCTCTCTCTATTTCCTTTTTGTATTGATTAGGAATCACTATCATGTATTTAATTACATGTTCTTGTTTATTTATCTTTCTCATGATGATTCTAATTGTTCTAATTTATTTAGGAGATAAATTCTGGTATACCAATGAACGGAAATCAGCAAAGTATTCATCCCAATATACACTCTTACATGCATGGTAACATTCATCAAAGTCTGACCACTTATCTGATTGATGATCCACTGGAAAATGTCAAAAACTACTACCAACCTCAAGGATTCAGTACTTACGGTGAGAATCTCAATCTTTCACCATGAAAAAAAAACTGAACAAGAGACAAAACAAACGAAAAGAATTGAAAAGATTAAATGAGAGCGATAAAAGAAAAGCATATCAACAATCCAAATAAATAAAATGCTCATTCGCATCTAATGTATTAGAAATGATCATTACGACCCAAAGTAGAGTTCGAATAGAACGAGAAAAAAAAAGTTCGAAACAAAGTGATTACATGTGAAAGTGATAAATAGTCATAATATCCGATGATCATCATGATAATGATTGTGGAAGAAAAAAAACAATCGAAAAACATCATTAACGATGAGAAAGAACAACAATCAAACTGATTATTTTTTTTCTTCTTTTTCTCTTACATTAACTTGGGATAATCAACTAATTGTCGGCTAATTGTTGATCAATTTCATTCTAATTTTATACTCTTTTCTACTTGACCTCACTTTTAGTGCCACTTTCGGACGGCTACATCCTTGCATCACTGCCTGATCCAATAATCTGCTAATCCCTGTCGATGGATTAACTTTTTTTACAATTGTTTTTTTGAACATCATTTACCAAAGCTTTCATCTTGAGACTCAATCAAGCAATCAATTGATTTCCAATTGAATAATACATTTTATTTTACATCAAATCAATTGATGATTAAAGTTTCACATAATTTTCTTATCATGATTTATACATAATAATAATAATAATCATTTTACAATGTAAATAAATTTAATTAACTTAAAATGTGTAACAAGCAATGAAAACAATTAAACGAAGCTTAATTGATTGTATTTACTAATTTACAAAGAAATTGATTCACTTTTGCTTTTTATCATTTCATCAATTAATCAATACGATTAATCAACGATCAACTTGTGATGATCAGTTTTCAATTGGAATGAAAATTGTTTTGTTTTCATCTTTTTCAGGGAACACAATTAGTTAATTGTTTGCTCCTTTTTTGCAAAATGATCGATGTTTAAAGTTTTCTTTAAGGTTTACTTATATTGTTGATCAAGTTAATTGCTGGTAAAATAGTGAAAATTTAATGAGTATTTTTGGCTCAATTTTAATTGTTGTTTGGAAAATTAAGATTTCGTTTCTTAGTCTGTGTTATATTTTTGATGTTTTCTTCATCTAAATGATGAGCAAAAGTTTTACAATGTTGATCATATGGATTAGATTAACTTTCGAGATTATAATTTAATTGTTTATATTTACATTCTGAACAATTGAACAATTCATTCTGAATTCACACTTGCAACTCTAATTGTAAATCAATCTAATTGATCAATATAATAGGAAGAGATGATCATCAAGAGGGAATAAGAATAATAAATTTAAAAGAAAGAGTAAAGATGAGAGAAAAAAAAATAAACTTCTCATTGTATCAAATTAACTTTTTCTTACTAATCAGTTTTCAAACTTTTCTCACAATTAAACTACAACAATTTATCCAAATAACAATCAAACTCATTCTGAACAATTAACTTGCTCCAAACGCCATCTATTGATTAAAACTAAATTCGAATCTCAACTCCATCTAATGTTGAAAAAGTGAAGCTCGAAAAAAAAGTGCGCTAATTTTGATTTTATTCTTTCTTCTTTTTTCTTCTTGGTTCGATTTTCGTGGCCTTTTGATCCGTTTTTTTTTCTCGAAATTTTATTTTTTCCAGATCAAAGATCGTTGCAGTTGTTTTCTCTTGCTTTTTGTTATTTCGATTCTTGTTGAAAATCTATGAAACGGCACAACTGTTTCGCTTTGGTGTGACTCTGTCACGAATGGCTGGACTTGTGGGATAAGCGGGAAGGGATTTCCTCCTTATCTTTGGATTACCGATAACATGGCCGATCTTGTAAGGCACACCGATCTGAACCATCAGCTGTTGGAATATTGAATTGATATTATAATCATCTTTTGCTGAAGATTCAACGTAACCATTTTCCCAATCAATGTTAACTATGGTTTCTGCTAATTCCTTTTTAATTAATCTCATGGAATCAAGATCACTTTTATTACCAGCAACCACAATGGGAGGTGATTTAATTGGCTCAATGTATCCGGAATCATATAAGGGATTAACTTTATCACGATTTCCACTGCCAGTTCCATTCCCACCACCAATGCCACTTCCTCCTCCTCCTCCTCCTCCAGCACCAAGATTGTTATTATTGATATCAATAGAATCGATACCACTAATTAGACTATTATTATTTTTATTAGTATCAAGACTATTGTTAAACTGATTATCTAATCTATCACTTGGTGGATAATGATGAGTCCCCTGATAACTTGCGATTATCGGATTAATACTATGATGTCGACCTCTGTTCATATTATTGTTCGTGTAGCTAAAGGTATGATCGTAATCGTGATGATGTGAATTACCAAAAGTATAACCAGAATGTTGTTGCTGTGGATTATAAATTGGACTGTGGACACTTTTGCCGCTGCGGCTGCGGCTGCTTCGGCTTTGGCTTTCGCTGCACAGGTTTTTGTTTCGATTATTTCTTCACGAAGTTGTCGAACCTCTTCAAATGAATTTGGATCTGTTAATGAGAAGACAAGTAGAAATGCATCACCGCTTTCAATGGCGAGTTTTTTCATGGCTGGAAATTCATGAGAACCCGAAGTATCCAAAATGTCAAGAACCAAATCACCGAAACCTTTAATCTCATATTCTGCTCGGTGTAATTCATCAACGGTGGCATTGTAAGTCTCCGGGAAATGAGAGTAAAGGAATTGACTGACAATCGCCGTTTTACCAACTCGAGGTGAACCAAGAACAACGATTTTCAGGTGAAAGTTCATTTTACCCTCTGAATGAGTTGAACCCAATCGACCAAGAGAAGGCAAATGTCCTGGCATCATTTAGTTCAGTTTTAATTGTCACCAGTTGATAGTTCCAAATTTCCAACGATAATCAATGGAAAGAGAATGAAATTTTACTCGAAAGCAAAATGTCCAAAGTTATCTGGTGAAAATGATATAAAATTAAGAACAAAGAAAAATGTTATCGATAAGTTTGATTAATTTTCCATGATTCCTATTCATTAACATGAGTTGAAATCAGAATTTTTCTATTATAAAACCGATTCATACTCTAATTGTCTGTTAATCACTTAATTAAATGATTAGTCACAATTATCTCAAGGTTTAAGTCAATGAACTTATCTACCTTGAACTTTTGATGAATAATTTAATTAGTACAATTTACATTGAATTTGTACGGATTTTTTTTACTCATTCACTCCTACGTTAAGTTAATTGTTACCTAAACATTTATGCTAATTAAATGTGATTAGTGGAAATTGTTGATGATGAAAAAAACTCATAGAATCTGAAAAGATCATGATAAATTCTGATAATTACTCATTCAAGGTTGACACTTTGGATTGGTGATTCTCTTACAATATTTATCAACGTTTATGATAATCAACAGGTAAGGTTATTATTTATTCAATGTAAACATGTTAACACACTTGAAATAATTTGTTTGCAATAATATTTACTCCAAGTATTATCATAAAGGTAATGCTAATAATATTATCATGGTAATTGATGAATAATCTCATAAATGTGAGAGAAATAATCATGATATTGGATCATTATCATGTTTACCATGTGTAAGTATTAATAAAAAGTTCTGATAATTTGAACCTTGAAAGTCTAAAGGATTGTAAAGGTTTCGAGCTCTGGTCAATGTACTAACAAGGTCAGACGAAAAAAGTTCAATGATAATCACGATTCATATTCCAATGTTAATCATGTTAAACACTATAAAATTTATCGTATTTCAATTAGTAATATAATCTGCTTTCAAAATACCATAAGAATTGATTGATTTCAATGTGAACTTTTCATTATTATCAACATTCAGCTTATCCTTTTTTTCATGAGGAAAGTTTCTGATTCTTGTAACGACCACTTTCACCTTAATTGTTGTCCAATTGATGGTTTTATTGTAAAATCATTAATCAAACTGGTCAATTGTGAATCCCCAGATCTCATGATCTACATTTACACTTTCACTTAGTAAATATCATGGTGATCATCATTTTCACCCTGACATCAACTGAATTTCATCATCATCATCTTATACAATATGTGGAACAATTGATTTCCATTAATTTATCTGGATCATCAAAGCTTAACATTGATAAAATAATGAACAATCTGATTGATAAACTTGATATTACACCACAATCACCATGATGCACTCAACAGGTATAATATAACATTCTGGTTAACAATCAACTAACTGATTGATTTAATGTTAAGATGAAACTTTATACCACAAAGTAATTATTGTCAAAATTGATCCTATCATGAAAATCAGGGGATTTATAACATGAAAGCCCTGAAAAGAATCAACAAAAGATTATTGAAAACTCAGTTGATGAATAATCAATCATGTAAGCATTTAATTTAATCTCAAGTAATCTCAATCAATAATTTGCCTCCCTGATTAACCTTGATGATAACTAATCGTTGTGGATAATTGTTTGGGTGAAACAATTTACATATAATCAAAAATTGAGTCAATTGAAGTGATGAAAACAATTTACAATTAACTTGATTTCTGTCATTTCAATCAGATTGATTAAGTGTTTGATGTGTTAGTTTGTTTCCTTTTCCCTTTCTCTTTTATTTTCTTCCTCTTGTTTCATCATGATAATCACCCTGATTGTGATTCTGTTCTGGTTAACTGAATTTCCTCATTTCAAGTTGATCAATTTCAATCGATAGTAATAAAGATGCTAGAAAAAAATATCATCTTCTTTTCATCTGTATTGATTTCTTATTCTACAGGCTGATAATTCAATCAGTTCGACAAATTATTGTTGACTTTTTTTCTTTCTCTCTCTCACTAATTTAATAAATTCTCATCTAATTAACTTATCAGAATCAACTTATTATTATTACCTCAACAATCACCATGATGTTCAGCAAAAAAAAAGACCAACACTCTGAATACAAAAGCAACAATAAAATTGAGTTTTAGGAAATTAAAGTAATTGAATTAATCAAGATCAAACTAAATCAACTATTATCTACAATTGTTAACAATTAAGTCCAATAACAATTCGCCATGAAAATCATTTGTGATTAATTTTAATGATCTACTTTAAACAAATTAAATGGACGTTGATTAATTTACTTAGATTGAATTAAATGAATCTTATTGAATTGAAGGTATTAACTTAATTGTAATTTAAATTGGAGCAACATAATCAGTGCAAGTAAATTAATTGTGTTGATCTCGAGGAGGAAAAAATTTAATTACAACATGGGAATCATTTGATTTCTCATTACAATCAATTAATCACAATTTAGTTTCCATTTGTTTTCCCGAGTAAATCATTGCAGTTAATCAATAACAATTTAAATTTCTGATCAACAATCAAGCTTCAAGTTTGTAATCGCAGTTTAACTTGTGATTAAATTAACTATGATTAGTTGATTAGCTGAGAAGATTTAAAAAAATCAATTTGTTGCAAATAAGTAATTGGCTTTTTTTACCAATACTTTTAGTTGATTAGTTTGAGATTGTAATTAAATTTAAATCCAGTGACCTGATTAAAAAATTCAAACTACCAACAATTAGTAAGCCTAATCAACCATCGTGTTAGATTAACAGCTAATCAATACTGACAATTTAATTAGATTGATTTTCTGTTATCAATCTATCAATTATATTGATTATTTAAAAAATTGATTGTATTTAAATTGTTTCAAGATTTTTTAATTCTCAATTGTGATCAATTTAATCAGATATTTTATCGGTGATTGAACTTAATTACTTTCTATTAATTGTATCATTTTGATTAATTTAGCAGTGGAAAAGTAATTCAAACTAAATTGCTCCACTTTCTGATTAGTGATTAGTTAATTGTCGGAAAATTTAATGAGCTTTTCAAGCGCCAATTGATAAATCTAGTTGACCTTTTTCATTAAAAAAGCTTCACAATTAATTCAATATTTTAATCAATGGAAAAAACTTTCGAGTGGTAATCAGTATAATTAAATGGGAGCCTTAATTATGGTCATAATTGATCATCAGTTAAGGTCATTTAAATGGTTCATGATATAAAAAATTCATGAGAAAATTTCAAGTATCTGTTGAATTGGCAACAAATTGATTCATCAATGAAAGTGTAGGTTGATAATTAATAAATTGCTGCTCATTTAATTCATGAGAAACATTCAATTAACCGGAAATTGGATTAGGAGTGTTGATTGAATTACAAATCAAACTAGAGCTGAATTGCTGATAATAGCAATCAAATCAAATCACCTAGAATCCAATCAAACAATTACACGAAATTCATGACAATTAAAGGAATTAGGAATCAATATCACACAGATAAAGAGAGAAACCAGTAACCTTGAGGTCGACACTAAGGTCAAATTATATGTGATCCAAATTCCCGCTCTTGAGTCAAACCATAAACATTAATGTCAACAAATGGACCTTACAAGTCTTAGAAATGCTGTAAATTTGATTCACTGTCTGATTTTATATCGAATCAGTGAATTCTGTATCAATTCAATGAGAATTAGTGTTTATGAACATCGATAAAATTGTGATCATGATCAGGAAATAATAAAAAATGAATCAGACTGAAAGCTTATCATGATCAATATGATTTCTCGTTTCAAATTGATTCCTTTTTTAAACAATATCCTTGAACTCATTTGGAATCGTATATGAAATTATCATTGTTTACATCTTAAAAGTTTCACTTTCTCGTTTTCATCACCATCATCACAGGAATTCATTGATGATGAAATATCCTTGAACTTTTTCAATTCTCCTTTTCTTTTCATTCATCTTCTTTCTTTCATCAACCATTATCATCATCAATCTCAATGTTATCTTCATGTAAAGAGAAAAACTAAAAAAAAAGTTCTGATAATAATAAGTTTTTATTTTCTTATTCTTCTCATTTTCTAAATATAATAAATATTAAGAACATGATACTTACGGTGATCTGAAATCGAGGTGAAAATGAAAAATTTGAGTTTCATGTAAATTATTTTCAACGAAATTCAATCAAAGTATTAAAAAGTTTGCATAACTGATTGTATCTCATCAGATTTCATTAAATGTTGACTCAATCAACAAAATGATTAAAACCAAGGTTATATTATCATGATTAATATTTGATAAGTTTCACCCTTTTCTCCCTGAATCTTTATCATTTATTATTTTTTCATATTCATTGTTATTGAATTTTCATGAATACAATCATATCCTCCAACTCTCTCCACTTATTATTAATATTTCATCCATTAAATTATCATAAATTGTTCAATCAATTTGTATATAAAAACAATGAGAATCACAATTAATTAGATAACAATTTATCAAACTTTCATCATGATAATAAGTTGAAGATGAAAGTTCTGTGTGTACTTATAATCATCATCATGATTATCATCATCAGTTGACCTAAATAATATTCAGATTGATGGTGGGAAAAAAAAGTTATCCAAGTATTAGATTGAGAGGGTGGAGTGGGTTAGGCAAGGTGGAAATGAACGTAATTTATTGTTAATCATTGGAATTAATAATTAATTAATTGATTCTCTGGTGAGGATTCTTACCAGTATCAAGTTATCATCACTGGAGAGAATTAGTTGATACAAAACAATAAATACTATTATTACAAATTCGAGGTTCGAATTAGCATTTTTATCAGGTTTCCCGATTTTTTTTATTCTTTTCCTAGTTTTATTTCAATTCTATTCCTATTCAATCATTAATTATATATTGAAATGAATGTGAAGATAATACAATTAATAATGAAATTAATGTTCATTAGGAAATAAAATGAATTAAATAATGATAATAATTAACCTTCAATGTTACTTTTCATTAAACCATGACAACAAATGAATTACCTTGACTTTGTCATGAGGAATCATAATAATTACCGAAAACATTGTTTATAAAATTTGAATCAACCA